AGGGGTGCCCTGTAAGGCGTGAAGCGCGTTGATCTCGTACAGAAACTCATCTACTGTGTCGGGTCCAGGAATCTCTTTCTTGATGTATGCCTTGCCATCTAACTGGACGTTGTAGACGAAGCCGGATAGATGCGCGTCGAAATGGAGCTGGTTCTCGGGGACCAATCGTGCTTGTGGCAAATGTCCGATACAAGAAACAGGCGGATAGGGAATGATTTCGTTGACATCTTCCGTAACGTGCACATGCAGGCGGCCGTCGCGAGTTTCCAGCTTCAGGTTGGTGACTGTGTCGTAAAACTGAATCTCCGACAGCGACTCGCGAATCGACTCGTAAATTCGGGCACACTTGTCTCGCTGATACCGCAATTCCCTCAGGTCTTGTTCCAGGGAATCCGGGGGCGCACCGCGGTAGTCGCAGGATATGGTGACTCTCCGCCACCGAGTCGAGGTCTCAGCATATGTGACGAAAAACTTTTCCCGCTCCGAGCGATCCCGAAAATGCATGCTCAGGTTCAAAATCCATCGCTTTTCCAGTTCCATCTCGAGCGTATCGTCCGGTAGCTCCTCGGGAGCTTCCGCCACGTCAGGACAGGGGTTCCATTCCGAGAGAAAGTCGCTGTCCTCATTCGCCTCAGGCAGTCGCTCGACCGTGGTCTCGCTCGGGTCTTCGCGCCACTGAACCTCGGGAGCGGACAGTCTGGGGTCCACGGTGGGCGGTGGGGATCTGGACCGGTGGGAGCTCACGGCGCGACGACGGTCGGCAGACACTGCACGACGGGGCTCGGGTTCTAGGGGTGATAGATTGTCTCGCCGCTCGGAATTCTGTCGTTTAAAGGTAGTGGCTCGCGGCAGACCAACTCCTACCTTTCTGGACAGGCGGCGCTTGAGATTATCGTGGGCTTTGTTGTTGCTGTGGTGCGGCTTGTTGTTGGTGTTCTTGCCGTTGGGGGATGAGTTGTGGTGGTTGTTACTGTTCTGATTACCATTATGCTCGTTGTGGGCGGCTGGAGAATTGGGTTTATTTGCGGTGGGGGCAGCGTCGCCAGCGGGGGAATGTGAGGAGAAATCTCGATCATCGCGGCCCAGCCACCTGCGAAGGCCCAGGCGATGCCACATGCTCTGCTTGGGACGGGGAAGGTCAACCTTCTCCGGGTCCAACAACAGACCGAGCGACCTCGTCGGGCTACAGGAACTGTCGGCAATGGAGATGGCCATACGGATCGACACGGTCGCTAAATTGTCGTACGGAGAACGACTGGAACACCCGAGGGGGATGGAATGGCGATGTCCATAAGAATTGCGACAAAATCCTTGCGGTCAGCAGTGACTGTAACCCTGTGCGAGGTCTCTCACAGGTCTGACGAAGAGGGAAAGGAAATAACAGAAGTAATTATGGGTATTAGATTTTAAGCCCTGTTGAATGAGACGAGCGAAAGGGAAGAAGAAAAAGAAAGCAGGGAATCAAAAGCAAAGAAAACAAAAAATGAGAAATTGTGCTGAAATAGACCAATAAGCAATAAAAAATCAAGTTAACGAAAGAGAAAAATAAAAGGGAAAAAACTTTAAAATCGGATTCAATGATATAAATAAATAGAAATGAATCTCCCTGAAGAAGTCGGTGAGAACCCGAGTTTGTGTTGTCCAGGCACTGCTTTGCCCAGTCAAACCGAGTCCCACTGGGCGCACAGTGACGATATGATGTTCGGGGATGTAATTTGATCTTGTTCTTATGACCTGGGGTAGTGGAGGTAATGGTGGTGGTGGAGGTGTTGTTGTTGCTGTTGTTGTCAGGTTGCTACTAATGGGGATCAAAGGCAGAGGGAGTGACAATGCAGTGGGATAGAGAGGGCATAGAGAGACGCGCAGGACAAATAAGGATGACGAGGAAGCGGAATACGACGAATGGGGGCGAGGATGAGTCGATAGTAGACCGACTAACTTGGTCGTAGGTGTCACCCGGCTGCAAGGCTGGTTGGGCTGAAGGAATAGGAAAGGAAAGGCCGAGGATTGGATTAGTATCGCAGCCAGTCGATCAGTTGATCCATAAATGGGGGGGGTGGTAGAGAGGGAGAGGAGAGGAGAGGAGAGGAGACTAGTAGTTGTGAGAGGAGATGGTGAAAGAGGAGGCGAGGAAAGTGTTGGTGAATTCACCGCCCACGAGATGCAGTGATGGAGAAAGAAAGAGTGAGAGGGAGAGAAGATGTGAGAGGATGAAGATGGAATGAATAATAGCAAGCAAGTAATAGTTAGTTGTCACAAGAGAGAGTGTGTGTGCGTGAGAGAGAAAGAGGGAAAGAGATTGGCAGGACTGGGCCAGAATGGAACAGGCCCAATGGAAGACCGATGGAAGAAACGGCGAACGCACAATCGGATCCTTGCGTAGGAAAATAACCCTCAAACCAATGGAAATCTCAAACGGACTAAAGCACGAAGGATGATGCGAAAAACTACTAGATACTACTAAGTATGGAGGAGTCTAGTCAGTCACTCTGGGCCATGGCGAGACAGCGAATCTGGAACCGCAATCACAGCCGCCGTCTTTGAGCCAGTGGAGATGCACGGCGGCCTGACAGTGAGTGCCTGATGAATGGATGGGAATAGTAGTAGCAGTAGTAATTAAAGATGAGACGAGCATTGTTCCTAGTTAGTTAGTTACCAGTTGGTTAGTCAGTCAGTAGTATATTCCCGTTGGGAGATACAAAGTAATCAACTAGTTAGTAGATATTGGGGGAGTATGACTCCGATCGGGAATCAACCCTACTAAGAAACTCAAAAAGTAAGGAAATTCTTAGGAAATAACCGGAAACCGACTTGTAAACTCTCTAATAATCGCTATCTATCTGATTCCTCGGATAACGCCTTGATTTCTTCAAAGTCCACCGCAAGCAGGCTGGAGCACTACTCGATTCATCTCACGGCATCCACTACTGCAGACGCACAGCCCAACTTTCTTCTCGAAGCCTCCCCGTTCGTTCCTGTCTTCTTCCTCTCCCGGTCCAACTGTTACTCCTACTGCTACTCTGGTATCCGACTTACTGAGCTGGTCGGGTTTTCGTCTCCGATCGTCTCCTAACTAACTCTCCTTCACTATCACCGAGGACGGCCCCCCTCTCTCTCCCCCCCCAGAATCCACCCATCACCTCATCATCACTAGACTCTTCCAGATGTAAATTTTCTGGTTTACCCGAGCGTATCGCTGGATCCGCAAACACAACAACACCACCAGGCAAGGCCACGCTGTACAAACATCTGTCTGCCAGGTCCCCCCCTCTCTCTCCCGATCAAGTGCATAACCAGGTTGCTGCCATGGAGGAGGGGGGAACTGAAAAGACAAGGGAAGAGGGAGGGAGGGGCGCGAGATGAAGTAGTACACCTGGATCCAATAATCCAACAAAGATAAGTCAAATGGTCCCTGGAAGACCCCATCCTTCGTTAATAGTTCATACTTCATCACGGCACCAAGACCCTCGTCGGGTCCTCATAGATACTACTACCTATAGTTAGTTAGTAGGTACTAGCTATCCCCCCGCGGTTAAACTTTACTTTTTCAAAGTGATGCTCCCATTCAGATCGAAGGAACAACAACACCTCAGGATGATGCGCCCAATCATTATCCTCCACCTTGTAGCGTAGTAAAACATCCCCGTTTTTATTTTCTGTGCCAGTAAACAGCATAGCTGCTATTCCTAGTACAGGTAGTAGCTATTTAGTACTAGTTGCTAAATAGACAAACCGTTGTTGTCGTGTTTGAGCCTGCTTTGAGAGAAGATGATGGCATGGGGACTGTATATGCAGGCCCGCTGCACTGCCTACTGACATGGTATGCATGTTCTTGTACAACTTTGTCAAAGTCCAGTGTATACGACTAATAGGGAATAGTCAGTCAGTCAGAATAGACCAAACATACCATCTGATAATATCATCGATGACCTCAGTAAACCTTAAGATGATGACTTTCAAGAACTAAATCTTGAGGACTTTTAGTCCTTCCTTACCACAGTAAGTGGGACATACATCATCGCCATCATCACTCCTACCACTCATGTTAATCTGGTAGAGAAAAAAGTCAGATTAATAACCAGGCAACCAACCCATGCGGAGATTCCCGGATGGTATATAGCCAGGCAGTCCGAATGACACACTCCCATCTTCATCCAGCCTGTCAGATTGGTTGTCGTGGTCTTTCTACCAACTAGCTCCCCCTGCTTGCATCCAATCCGGGGCAAAGCCTGGGGGACCCAGTAGTAGAGAGGGGGGCCTTGACGAGTCCCGGACCGAAGTAGCAGTAGTGGTGAGTACTACTACTAGTAGTGACATGTTGGTCGGGTAGGAAGCTTACTCCTATAGGACGGATAAGGTTTCATGATCATTGGTGCGATATCTACAATCCTAGTCGTTAGTGGACGGTCTATGCATCTGTGATAGTATAGTATGCGGTTAGTATTATCATCACGGATCAATATCTAGTTATGGTTGTAGTGTAGTTGTAGGTGATGGTGTTGGATATAGTAGGTTACACTAATAGATTCTAGGCCATGTCGGCCAAGGTTCTTCTCCAGTGAGGGTTAAGTGATTAGAATTGCCAGAATACTATCAAGTCATTAAGAAGCAAGCGTCGAGAATGCTAGAACTAGGCTCTCAAGTCTCCATAGTTCGTTCCCCATGTCGTCCCGCGCAGCAGGTGTGACAACAGATCAGTCCACGGTGACGATTGCCCTGTTCGGCAAACAACGACTTACAGAAAAGAAAACAAGAATGGAGAATGGAAGTAACACGAAAGAAATAGAGGAGCCGCTCAGTGTCATAGACTAAGCTGAGAAAGATTGGCAGATATGAAAAGAAAGCACAACACCACCCAGGTAATAGCAACCATGTCGACTAATTAGAGCTTGTCTCTTCACAACCATCCACCAAGCACAAACTCATGATGCACACCAGATAGCCAACTAAAAGTCAGGCCATCATCAAGCGTACTTGTCGACAGGATACATGCATCACACTTAAGGCCACTTTCCAGGTCCCATGCAGGCACCCAGAACGCATGTATCAGTGTGGCAGCACTGAGAGCTATAACGGCAAACACGGCGATGACATCTCTTGTCCTTAATTTCGACCGTCTCACTGTCGTCTTCGTTGACCAATTCAGAATTGGACTCGTCTGTGTTCAGAGGAAATGAGAAGGGGTTAGTTTCTTGCGTGTGTCTACAGGGGATGTCATGTTAACAAAGACAGAGAAGCACGAACCTTCATCACGAGTAGCAAGTTTGAAATCATTCACGTCAAAGTCTTCAACATCGAACCAGGCTTTATACAGAGAAAGTGTCGGTAAGCAATCTTGTCTTTCTGTGCGAATGGCATAAGAAGAAAGGACAACTACATACTTCCATGAGTGCTGGTGACATCAGGAGCGACCTCAGGGACGGCCGCGGATGCCACGAAGGCAACAAGGAGGGTCAGAACGCAGAGGATATTGAACTGCATCGTGAATGACGATGAGGGTAGCGTTTGTTTTGTTTTGGGTGGTAACGAGAGATGTTGATTGACGATATGTGCAGGATGTGTGAGTTACGAGAGAAGATACGAGGGTATGTGAGAAACGGATATGAGAGGTGAGGAGAGTTAGAGAAGCGCAAGAGAGGGCCTGCGAGGCGCTTTATAGAGTAAGAGAAAAGACGTCCCGTGACTTACGCCGCTGTGAATGAGATATCCTGCCTCTCCTTTAACAGGTAGGACGCGTGAATGAGTGTTGAAACACAAATACTTCTCTCGCACTTCTTTACATACTTGGCAAGTGAGGTGGAATTGTAGGAACCGGAGGACCAACTACTACGTGAATATGATGTCTCCATTAGGGCCAGATCATGCCTCAGTAATATTCACCTTTGATTACAGATATCTTCGAGGTGAAGAGGCAATCCTCTACCTAATATGGGCAAAACCTAGGTTTCAAGCCATAGTTTGGCTGTCTAGAAGGAACAGGGCTTGGGCAAAGTAGCCTCTATTACAAGAAACAAAGACAAAGCTTTGGTATGTACATATACAAGATGTGATATTGTCCATTAGCAAGCCTGAAAACAGCGTCAGGCAGCACTGTAGTCAGAGCTCTATCCTCTTCCTCCAGACCGGCTTATTACATGATCCAACAATGATACACAGCCGGTCTCATGGACCATTCCAACCATCTTCTTTTCTCAGAGCGGAGTGAGTGCTAGGCTGCAAGTTTGCCGTTCGTCGTATCAGGACTGCTAGACAGCCAGTTTAGGCGAACGTCAACTTCAACCTGGTGTTGTGGTATGGCCCACGACTTGAAGCAAAGGGCGGAACGCCACGAAGTGAATCTAGAAACCAAAGAAGAAAAAGTGACAAGAAAATGAAGACAACTCCGAACCATGCTTTCCACAGGATAACGCCTTGCACGTGACCAGAAAGAAAATAAACAATGCCCGGCGTGAGCTGGAGAACAGTATGTCATCAAGGCGTGAGGACTGGTGGCGTAATTCACTCGTCTTCCTCTACTTCGTTGGATTTCTTCTCAGGCTTCTCAGCCAGCTGCTTCTGCCAGATGTTATTGGCAGCACCTTTGTCCAAGTCGGTAAAGAGGATATCGAACACCTCCGAGTACCAGCCTACTGCATGGCCTTCAATGCCCTCCTTGATGTTCTGTGATTGTAAGTTAGCTTCTTATCGGGCACTCCCAAATAGTCATCCAACACTCACCTCGGGCAGCTCCAGCCAGTCGGACATGTTGTCCGCGGGGAAAATAATCTTCTTAGCACCAGCACGGCGAGCAGCAACGGTCTTCTCCCGCAAACCTCCAATGCGCAGGACCTTTCCGGTCACGGTCAATTCTCCCGTCATAGCGATGGTTGGGTCAAGTGGGTGGTTCAAAGCCAAGGACAGCAGAGATGTTGCCATGGTAATACCAGCAGATGGGCCATCCTTCGGCACAGCACCCTCGGGGCAATGCATGTGCAGCTTAGCCTTCTCAAAGAATCGGTTCTCGGGGAACTGCTTCGCCATAACCGACTTGGCAAATGAGTAGGCGATTTGGCTAGATTCTTTCATCACGTTTTGCAGGTTACCGGTGATATCGATGCCCGGTCGGGACTGAGGCGTCAGGGCGTTCTCCAGGATTGATTCGACGTACAAGGCAGCACCTCCCATGCTAGTCCAGGCAAGTCCCATGGTCACACCAGGAGGGAAGGTGTCGTAGAGACGGTCAGCCGTGAAGATGGGGGGTCCAACATAGTCAGTAAGGCTGTCTTTGCCGATACTGAGCTGCACACTTTCCGGAACCTTCAGCGCAACGCGAGGCGTTTCCGTCGTGGACTTCTCCGGGTCGACAGGCGAATTTGAGTCGGGAGACTCAGTCTCCTTCTGTGACTCCTCTTGAACGGCCTTGCCCTCATCTGTCAGAGCCTTCTCTTCTGCGAGCACATCTTCGCCGAGATCCCGAACGATCTTGTATGCCGCCTTACGATAGACCTTCTCGATCTGCTTCTTCAGATTCCGAACACCACTTTCACGGCAGTAGGACTTGATGAGTTCCTCAACGGCCTCCTCCGTCAAGGTAACATCAACCTCCTTCAGACCGGTAAGCTCTCGAGCAGCAGGGGCGAGATACCGCTGAGCGATGGCCATCTTCTCATCGGCAACATATCCTGACAACTCGATGAGCTCCATGCGGTCCAGGAGTGGCCGAGGAATCGTGTCAGTCACGTTTGCCGTGCAAACAAAGAGAACCTTGGACAAATCCACCGGGACATCCATGTAGTGGTCCAGGAACGAAGAATTCTGTTCAGGATCAAGCAACTCAAGAAGCGCAGAAGACGGGTCTCCCTGGTGCCCGCGGCCGATCTTGTCGATTTCGTCGATCAAAATAAGGGGGTTCTCGGTCTGGCACTTCTTGAGGGCCTGGATGATACGTCCAGGAAGAGCGCCTACATAGGTCCTACGGTGTCCCTTGATTTCGGCGACGTCGGTCAAGCCTCCAACTGAGAAGCGGTAATACTGTCTGTTCAATGCCCGTGCGATGGACTTTCCAATACTGGTCTTTCCTACACCAGGCGGTCCGACCAGACAAAGGATTTTGCCCTCCACAGTACCACGCAGTTTGCCCACAGCAATGAACTCGAGGATACGGTCTTTGACATCCTTGAGGCCATAGTGGTCTTCATCGAGAACCTTCACCGCATGCTGAATACCGAAGTTCTCCACGCTCTTTTGTCCCCAAGGGATCTGAGTAAGCCAGTCCAGATAGTTGCGGGTGACATTGAACTCAGAGGCAGCAGGCTCCAGATGGGCCAGCTTGTTGAGTTCCTCGTCGAACACCTTCTTGACGGCGTCCGGCATAGCAAGCTTCTCTGCCTTTTCCTTGAACTTCTCGACCAACTTATCTTTGCCATCGGACTCGATGCCCAGCTCCCGTTTGATGCCCTTCATCTGTTCCATCAACCAGTATTCACGCTGTCGCTTCTGAATCTTAGCTTCCACGTCCTTAGAGATCTTGGATTGGAGTTGCGCGTTCATGAGTTCCTTCTTCAGCACCACCAAGGCCTTAGGAAGTCTCTCCTCAATGTTCATCAACTCCAAGACCTCTTGCATTTCGTTGAGCTCTCCTGCAGAGACGGCGGCGGCAAAGTCCGCCAGCTTAGCGGGCTCGTCGCTCAGATTGCCGGGGAACTGGTCCGTATAGAACGCAGAAATCTGGTCGCGGAACAACGGGTTTAGGCTCGCGATCTCTTTGCAGACGTTGACGATTTCACTGGTGACGGCGCGGATGATAGCACTCTTCTTATCGTAGGGTTCCTCCGCAAGGTTCTCCACATTAACCAAGCTGACGGGATACTTTCGCAGGAAGGAGGTGGGTTCATAGTGGTCCTTGGGGGCGAGTTCGGCAGTGCCCTCCTCGAAACTGGCGACAACATCCCCACGGCGCTCTGATGTCTTCTCCTCGGTTGTACCAGCCTTGGCAGCGTCGCTAGGCGGAAGCAGCGAAGAGACCTTGATACGACGGTGGGGATAAAGAACGGCGGTGACCCCACTCGCTTCGCCCCGGAGAGGGTACGCGGCAGTGATCTGAGCAAAGACGCCAACATCATAGACGTCATCCAGGTTTTCGATCACATCGCCATCTGCATTCTCGTCCTTGAACAAGAAGGCACCCACGTATGGTTGTCCCCGCTTCATCATGTCTTGTATGGCGGCGGCTACATTCGGGTCTCGGATGGTGATTGCTTTGTAAAAGCCCGGGAACAACGGTCGCTTCGCGATCGGGATTGCCATCACCTGAGGATACACTTCGGGAACTGATGGCTTCTGCAAGGCCTTCTCGCCGGAGCCCTTCTTGCCCTTCTTACCGCCATCCTCGTTGCCACCATTGTTCGCGCCACTAGGCCTCGAGTCGGAGCCACCATTGACAGGTATAGGGGATGGGGTATCAGATGAGTTCCCCTTGCCTTCTACTGCATTACCATCCTTCTTCGAGTCTTCCTCCAGGCCACGTTGCTCTTTGTCCGCGCCCGCTTTCTCCTTCCGCCGTGCAAAGCCCGATGTCGGAGCTCCGGATTCGTGTGACGATCCCTGCTTGCCAGAGGGATCAGCAGCCTTGCGTCGGGCGTCTGGAGCACGCTCAACATCCTTCTCCTCGTTTGCGTCTTTCTGCTCCTTCTGAGCAGGGTCGTCCTTTTCATCGCCGGGCGGGGGCTTCTCTCTCCGCCGGATGGAGCTCGAGGAGAAGGCGCGGGAGGTCGGGAGGGAGCGGTGAAGTCGCGACGCATTTAGTATCGATCGGGCGGTGACATTGTATCTTGAGGGAGCAAGTAGAGGTCGAGGGATGAAGGGACGCGAGGCTTGTTGGAGCGCGGCTCTCCAGGGGAGAGTCTGGCCGCGGAGCATGCTAGTAGCTTTACTAATGTAGATGCGGATGAAACGAGGCGGCAAAGAAGCAGGTGAGTGGGAAGGAGAGGGGATGGGGGATTAATATAATACAAGACAGTAGCTCGGAAGCTGACTGAGAGAGAAATCCCAAGGAAGACAAAAGGAGAGGAAGGTGATGGCTCAATGGGCACAATGAGGTCGAGGGGGAGATCAGTTCACTTCGGTCAAGTCGGTCGAGTGCTTGATTACCGAAGCAGGCTTTCATCATCGCAGCCCGCGGATTAATGATGCTCCGGTCGGGAAACTTTTTCGAGGCGAGCGACTCGAAGCTTCCAAGCGTCTTCCCCATCAGGAGGCGGTCGAGCGAGTCTCAAAACTAAAAGGTCACCGGCTTCTGCTCGAATCAGCTTCGTCGGTTTCCAATCTCGCTTCTCTGCCTTTCTCCTTCGTTCCCTCTCTCATCGTCTCTCTTTATCCTCCCGTTGGATGCTCCTCTGCTGCTCACGATGAGTGCTGCTTCCGCCGCAATGCCCAAAGCCGCGGCTATTCCCGCTCGTTTACTGCGGACTTCGCGACAATGCTCCAAGCAGAGCCCGGCCGCC